TTTCTCTCTCTACAGATGCTGCTGGACGTACTCAGTGAATAAAACATAAATTTATGCCATGCCCTCAATTTAACCCTTCAAGCTCTAGTACAATCCATACCATCTATTCCGTGTATTTCTTGTGGAAACCAACAAAATGTTAATTAGAGATAGTAGGAACTGCAGATGCTGGAGAATCTGAGATAACAAGGTGTAGAGCTGGATGAACACAGCAGGCCAAGCAGCATCATAGGAGCAGGAAGGTTGACATTTCGGGCCTAGACCCTTCTTCAGAAATGAAGACATCAGATGTCTGATGAAGGGTCTAGGCCCGAAACGTCAGCCTTCCTGCTCCCATGATGCTGCTTGGCCTGCTGTGTTCATCCAGCTCTACACCTCGTTATCTCAAATGTTAATTAGAGCGGGGTCTTGATTGCCATGAGATATTTGTTCCATGAGGACTTGCTTGAGTGGAACATTAATGAATAGGCTGACAATGTTGAGTGAGCACATGTACATAGCATCATCAGTGTGCAGAACACTGCAAGTTACGTGCACTGACATTATCTGAATTCAGTGAACTTATAAATTTATCAAATTACACGGTTGAGTTCAGTTTAATGACACCTTTCATACCCAAACAGATGTTGTCACAATGGAATCCTTTGGGCCAAGCTCTCTAACATTTCCAAGTGAAACATGCTTTCAATGGAATCACTCCTGACTTCTTACCTCTTCCATATTTCTGATACATAGATGATACACAGAGATTGAATTTGAATCTGCAGCTCCGAAAATTTCCTTACACATCCTAATGGGGCTTATCTCATGCTTAAATTCACCTTTAAAATGAAGCAGGCTAATGATCACCCTTTCCTCAATGTGTTAGTTGAGAGAAATCCAGTAATGTGTATATAAATAATGAGTAATATGAATTTGTACACTGATGGGATGTCTGGTAAATAGGTTGCATGCCCAAGTGACTAGTGGTTCCATTGTTAGATGTGACTCTGTGATCAGGCAGCACTTGATGAAGAATCCCGAGTATGCCAATAGTTTCACAAGCAACAAATTTAAGGTATTCAGTCAAGAGACCTATTCCCTACAAACAAAAGAAATATGTTCAGGCCCAACACCTTTTTAAAATTAGTCATGAGTTTGTGGAGACTACAGCATCTCATTTCTTTCTCAGACAGGGTCGAATTGCCAAGCAATCTGCTTCCTTTTCTCCTATAGCATAAATTGTTATCACTTGAATTATACATTCTTGTTTTTGACATGTTTAATGCAAGATGAAAAGCTTTGATATTATCTCTTTTTCAGTGATATAAATGTAATAAGCTTGCGTTAAGAGTAACAACCAAAATGTTTCTAACTGCAGACAATGTAGTTTAGGTTGCAATGATATTGTAAAAATTAGGAAACTTGTACAGGTTGTGAACACACGGCCAGGAAAAGACAACAAAGAAGAGTCCAATGGCTTCAGAGATAGTAGGAACTGCAGATGCTGGAGAAGGGTCTAGGCCCGAAACGTCAGCCTTCCTGCTCCTCTGATGCTGCTTGGCCTGCTGTGTTCATCCAGCTGTACACCTTGTTATCTCAGAGTCCAATGGCTAAGTGCTATACTAAGGTGAGAGTGACTTGATAGCAGCAGTGTGCACTATCTACAAGATGCGCAGTCACAACTCAGCAAAAATCTTTTTGTTCACTCGTGGGGCATGAGCATATCTGGCTGGCCAGCAAATTTTTTTATTGCCCGAACCTGGTTGCCCTTAAGAAGGTGGTGGCAAGTTGCCTTCTTGAACAGCTGCAGTCCACATGTAGTATGCTGACCCACATTGGACTTAGGAAGGGAATTCCAGCATTTTGTCAGTGAAGGAACGGCAATATATTTCCAAGTCAGGATGGTCAGTGGCTTAGAGATGAACTTGCAGGTGGTGATGTTCCCATGTATGTGCTGACCTTGTCCTTCTGGATGGAAGTGTTTGTGGGTTTGGAAGGGGCTGCCTTCTGCAGTGCATCTTGCAGTTAGTATACTCTGCAGCTACTGAGCATCGGTAGTGGAGTGAATGATTGTGGATATGGTGCCAATCAAGAGAGCTACTTTGTCCTGATGGTGTCAAGCTTCTTGAGTATTGCTGAAGCTGCACCCATCCAGGTAAGGAGGGAGTATTCCATCACAATCCTGGACAAAGCATCCGCAACCACTTCCATCTAGAAGGGCAAGGGCAACAGATACATGGGAACACCACCTTCAAGGTCCCCTCCATGGCACTCACCACCCTTCCTTCACTGTTGCTGTATCAAAATCCTGGAATTCTTTCCCAAATTGCATTGTGGGTCAACCCACAGCAGGAGGGCCGCAGCAATTCAAAAAGGCAGCTCACCACGACTTTCTCAAGGGTAACTAGGAATGGGCAAAAATTGCTGGCTTGCCAGTGATGCCCATATAGAGTCATACATCATGGAAACAGACCCTGCGGTCCAACCAGTCTATGCCGAACATAATTTCAATCTGAACTAGTCCCACCTGCCTGCTCGTGGCCCATATCCCCCCAAACCTGTCCTATTCATATATCCATCCAAATGTCTTTTAAACATTGTAACTGTATCCGCATCAACCACTTCATCAGTAAGTTCATTCTACAAGTGAACCACCCTCTGTGTAAAAAATCTGCCTCTTGTCTTTTTTAAAATCTTTCTCCTCTCACCTTAAAAGTATGTCCCAACGTCTTGAAATTCCCCATCTTAGGGAAAAGATAACTACCATCAACGCTATCTATACCTCTCATTATTTTATAAACTTCTAGCAGGTCACCTCTCAACCGCCTATGCTCCAGTGAAAAAGGTCCCAGCCTATACAGCCTTCCATTATAACTCAAACCTTCAATACCCAGTAACATCTTGGTAAATCTCTTCTGAACCCTCTCCAGTTAAAAAACACCTACTGTAGGGTAAGAGATGTTGATCTAGTTGGTGACACTCACACCCCTTGAACAAACATTGTTAAAAGTAAAACTTGTGGCTAAGTAGAGTCAGCTTTGAATATTGACAACGATAGCTGAGTAGAGGCAGTTGTGGAAAGTATGAGAGTCCAGGATCACTGTTTTAGCATAATGTTGGAAGGTTGTCCAGTGGAAACTAATTCATGGCAAGTCAACCATGAGGCAGAATTTGATTCAAATGTCTAGCAGAAATGAAGTGGTAAGCATTGGCCATGGCATTAATACTGTCAAGCAGCTGATCACTATTCCAACAGAGGAGTGAGAATAATAGAAATATCACAAAGTGAATGTTTGGGAGAACGCGCAGATAAAACTTGTTGTTTGCCTGTGTCTTAGGTAAGGCTGTAGATAAGCAGATATTCTTCACATTAATTAAGGCCTTCTTGCCTCTGACTCAAGGACAGCGTCATCACAGTTAACTGCATGTCCCATCTAAGTTTTTCATTTACATAGAACATAGAACAGTACAGCACAGTACAGGCTCTTCGGCCTACGATGTTGTGCCAAACTTTTACCTGAAACCTAAGGTCTATCTAACCTCCACCCCTATCTTATACTATCATCCATATGCCTATCTAACAGCCGCTTAAATGCCCCTAATGAGGCCGACTCCACTACCCTCTCCGGCAATGTATTCCGCGTCCCGACCACTCTCTGAGTAAAGAACCTAACTCGGACATCTCTCCTATATCTACCTCCACTCACTTTAAAACTATGCCCCCTCGTAACAGCTACCTCCACCCTAGGAAAAAGTCCCTGGCTGTCCACTCTATTTATACCTTTGATCATTCTGTACACCTCTATCAAGTCACCTCTCATCCTTCGTCGTTTTAAAGTGAAAAGCCCTAGCTCTCTCAACCTTTCCTTGTAAGGCCTTCCCTCCATTCCAGGCAACATCCTGGTAAATCTCCTCTGCGCCTTTTCCAACGCTTCCACATCTTTCCTGTAATGAGGTGACCAGAATTGGACACAATACTCCAGAAGTGGCCAAACCAGGGTTTTGTATAGCTGGAGCATAACTTCACGGCTCTTGAACTCAATCCATCTATTAATGAAAGCTAACACACCATACGCCTTCTTAACAACTCTATCCACCTGGGTGGCAGCTTTCAGGGAACTGTGGACATGAACGCCAAGATCTCTCTGCTTCTCCACACTGCCAAGAATCTTTCCGTTAACCCTGTATTCTGCTTTCAAATTTGTCCTTCCAAAATGAATCACCTCACACTTTTCAGGGTTAAACTCCATCTGCCACTTTTCAGCCCAGCTCTGCATCCTATCAATGTCCCTTTGTAACCTAGAACAGCCCTCCGCACTATCCACAACTTGACCCACCTTCATATCGTCCGCGAACTCACTAATCCACCCTTCCACTCCTACATCCAAATCGTTTACAACGATCACAAATAGAGGAGGACCCAGATCAGATCCTTGTGGTACACCACATTTCTCCACTGATTGGGAAGGGGTAGAATAAAGAACTAGAATGCATTTGCATTTTTTTTTAAACAGCTCCCAAAGTGTGATTTCACATCAACATCGGCAGGGAGTTTTCATCTGCTACTTGTTCTCATTTCAGTTAAAGAAAGGCAGAAACAAGTTACAATTTTCAAATTACCTGATAATTACAAAAGGTATCTGTTGCCATATGTTTAACTGTTTCAGTTCGACTTTAATAATGGAGATTTTGAAGACTTCAAATAAGCATCACACCTTCAAACTGTAAAATACCTTCTCAATTCCAATTTATGCATATATTCTGAGATTAAAATTACTTCCAAAAAAAATCCTAAACCTTTACAAATTCAGACCTGAGAATCACAGGAAGAATGTTGCATGCCACTGATAAGAGGGCCAGATCAATGATTAAATTCACTACAGAAATAATAAAAGCACAAAGAAAGGTTAATAAAAAGATGAGGTGTAACAGAGCTATTCCTTTTGAAAGCGTTTTAGAAAAAAAGAATCGAAATTCATTAAAAATAATTTTGAAAAATAATCATGACTAGTCCCTCATACTGTTACAGATTAATTTATTTAACTTTTTCTGGTAGTTTTTAGCTGAATATTTCTCTTGATGTCTTTCTGATATGTGCACTGAATTCATTCACTTGGATTCTGAATGACAATCAGAAGGTACTCTTTATCTGTAAAGGAAACAAAAAGAACAAGACTGTTCAGAATTAAAGTCTTCTTCCAAGTATACAATTTACAATCTCAAATATTTTCCACATGCTTAAGTATCAAGTTTGAACAATGAAAAGAAAGAAAAATTAAACTCCAATATCTCATCAGATTACTTGTCACAGCAAATCAGAATTTTTCTTTGTTTGAAAGATGTATTTTGAGAACCATTCTATTTGTAGCTGCAAAACTATAGAGCTCATCATGAAATTCATCATATGACACATTTACTATTAATTTGAACCATAGATTTTTGCTTAACCAACTGTAGGTTATATTGCTTCACAAGTAAGAACCATCTTGTGTGAATGTCATTGGGTAATAAGAACATTGAGTTATTGAATTATCAATGACATATCTGCATCCAATACGCGACATGCTCTCTTACAGCAAAAGCAAATTAAGTGCACAATTCTGCATGGTAAACTCAAACACTATTTTGTCAGTCAGGTACCAGGAAAAAGGTTTCAAGTTGTAAACTAATCGAGAATGTCAGCTGACAGTAGGAACTGCAGATGCTGGAGAATCTGAGATAACAAGGTGTAGAGCTGGATGAACACAGCAGGCCAAGCAGCATCAGAGGAGCAGGAAGGCTGACGTTTCGGGCCTAGACCCTTCTTCAGCTGACTGTTAAAAGCTGTTCTTGCAGTCTGATTCTACGCAAACCCCATTTAGCTTTGCAGTCCATCTCCAGCATCCATATTTATCTTTTTATAATGTAAAGACATGTTTTTTGAATAAGAAAGAGAGAGAAATCTTGCATGGAATTGCAGAAGGGGGATCTTTAGTAGATACATGAGTGATGTTACTTTATAAGTTATCACACTCCAAGTAATTTAAATTCTGAACATTCCTGAGCAAGTTCACAGCAGATTTACTTCAGATAACAAAAACATTCACGCTCACAGTTACAATTTATTGTGAATCCAGATGTAGACCACTATTACCATGTTGAATAAGATCTCTTGTACAATTGATAGTGCTTTAATAAATGAATAAATGATGGATGCTGTTGAGAGTTGTTTCACAAACTTTATAAGAAATTGACTGCAATTGGAATGAAATGCATGAGTTGTCTTTTTCATTAAAAACGGTCAAATTTTGCAATCGGTGGTAGCTGCTGCCAATGATGGCAAAGAAAACTGCCAAGTAAACTCTAGCTACCCCTGTGATAAAAAGCAGAAAGAAACATGTGTGTGTGAATTCTTTACCGCAGAGCTGAACAGTCTTCCTTAAAGTACTTGTAAGTATCAGATCATACATGGCAGACAAGATGTAGCCACACCCCCTGAAAATGGACAGGAAGATAAAACATGCACACTAATTCAGGATTCTTGAGAGGTATGTATTGTTTAAAGAAAACAAAAAATAATTTATTAAGTGACAGAATGAAATGGTTTACTTGAATAAAAATGAAAGTCGTAAAAATTGTTTTCAAAAAGGTATCCAAAGTAAATAGTTATTTTATCATTGACATGAAAGAAAAATAAAAGCGGTGCAAAAGATAGAACAGGATGTATCAGAATTTTAATGATGTTGGAGTTGGAGGCATCACATCGGGATTTCTGAAGAACAAGAAGCCTAGGGCATCATGAAAAGCTAAGAGTGGCTCAGGCCTTGAATGCTTGTACTCCAGTTGCATTTAGCAATATCAGAAAACAAAGATTGAACCTGATCTGGTAAGGTTTGTAGTTATTCGGAATGTTAGACTTACAATTTTTTTTGAAAAGTTCACTGCTACAATGAACAGTGAAGAGCGTTGTTTATGAGTGGGGTAGTCAGAATTCAAACTAAAGTAAACTGGTTGTAAAATTCAATTGCCTTTGCAGATAGGCCTTGTTAAGTACTCGTAAAGACCTTTCACAGTTTAGTGGTGTGAAATTGCAATTAGTGAATTATACCCTGTCTCCAAAGCACCTAAGTAGTCTGTCAGAAGCAACAATCAAGCACAAACCAATATTGATTTTCTACGTCTGTGTAGAGTAAAATGCCACTTAGTTTACAAGAGTTGTCCATGAGTTGTTTCACCAAAGGAGGTAAGCTAGTTTCAAAGAAACTCCCAGATAGCTCCTAGGTATCTTTGGATAGCCTGGTGTCAAAGCAGACATTGGAAGGAGTAAAGGTGTTTATTTTGAGCTGCAAATTTAAAAATTGTTTGAATAGATAAAAATGACGAGGATGCACACACAGCATGCAAGTTCCTGTTAAATGCCACATGAACACACTTTCTTAATATAAATTTCTTCCATTCCACAATGGATAGCTGGCTTTGGACGCATAAGCTGCAGAGGGAGATGTCAGCAGACACAGTTGTTGAAACAGAACCTAAAGTAGGTGTAAAAACCTAAAGAACTGCAGATGCTGTAAATCAGAAACAAAAACAGAAATTGCTGGAATAGTTCAGCAGGTCTGGCAGTAGCTGTGGAGAGAAATCAGAGTTAACATTTCGAGTCAAGTGACCTGAAACGTTTACTCTGATTTGTCTCCAAAGATGCTGCCAGACCTGCTGAGCTTTTCCTGAAGAGGCCGTATTGTCCAAAGTGCAGAGTAAGTTAATACGATCAGTCAGCCAGAGGAGGAAGAAAGGGGTCCAGCTGGAGAAAGACAACATGGCACACCGAGGTAGAACGGAAGATGAAAAGACACCATCGCTTCTCTACCCACAGGGTTCCTACTATGAGTTTGGCAGATAGTGAGTGAAAATGCTTCACTGTGACAAATCACAGTGCGTCACCTCTCCTTTTCCTGGACCCCTTGGCTCTGTGCGAAACACGTATCATTGTTCTTTATCCAGTAATCGCCATAGAGGCTGTGGAAGGGAATGTGGTGGATGGGTCTGAACTGAAGGGTACTGAGGAATTTCTAACAGCTGCACTACCTCTAAAAGTTGATCTCAGCACTAACAATGACTTTATTTTTTCCTGTGCTTCACTACTGGTCATGCGGAGTCTCATTAGCCATAGATTCAGCACTGAATTCAGAGTCCATGGTCAAACATCACAAACGTGTATCGTGTTTAATAAGACAAATCCTTCCTGGTTTTGTACGTAACAGCTGTATTATTGGGTGCCTTCAATGGTAAAGGAGTTCCCCAACACTATGGGGAAGTTGGCAATTCCAAGAAATTTAGAAAGTCTCTTCTTTTACTGTGAAGATCTCAAGTTTGACAAACTCACCCCCTTAGAACTTGGCATTGCTGACCTGGTGAATGCAGCCTCCTTGGGTTTTGGGTGATGTTAAACATGTTACTGCTGTCTGACAAAATAACCATCGTGCATAAAATATGAATGTTGCTGCCACTGACAAGACTGAACAGGACATAGATCATGGCTAAAGGTCCTCCTCTAACATATCACCAGCTAATTCACCCTTTACTAAAGCATAGTCTGCTCAAACACAATTTTTCGAACATTTCGAACTACACCCTCTCCCTCTACACTCACTGGAGTGAATTAAAGTTCTCATCTGGTGAAATTATGGATGGGTTTCTGATGACTCATTTTTGTTCTCCACTTTTGGACCCCCATTATCTATAAAGCATACAATGCTGGAGCCAACAGTGCAAAATACATTTCTATTTTCCTTCACAGGCATTCTCTTTAAGCAATGGCAGCTCATGAAAAGAAATGGAAGAAGTCACAGGTGTGAACAAAATATGAAAAAAAAATTAAAAATTGAAAAGTGTGTGAAAAGATTGATAAAATGTGATACCTGGATTTTAGCTGTCGTGCATTTTTATTTCATTTAAAATAAGGACTACAGCAATTCAAGAAGGTGCCACCTTCTCAAGAAGACTAACACTAATTCAGGCCTGGCCAGTGACACCCACATCCACTGAATGAATAAAATGTATTCTATCTGCATTAAATATTGCCTCCTCAGACAAGCTCTAAGACTATCAATTTTAATTCATAAGTAGCTAATCAGCTCAAGTTCACACCACTACATCGATTTGTGTTTACCCCATAATTGGAGGTTCTCTCGAGTATAGAAGCATAGAATCACTGATGACAACTTGTGTATTTCCCTGTTTAACTCCAGATGAGTCGACACCAGATTTCACCAACAGTTTCCTACAACTCTTCCACTAATGGTGGCCACCTTTAAGCATTATAGCACGCAGGTTTTTTTCCCCAATGCACATTTGCGCCAATTTGTTGGAAAAACTGAAATTGGTTAGTTTCTTCAATAGCAGATTTTTTAAAAAATCTCAATGCTGATAATTTGATAAATGGCCAATTGTTTGCAGCACACTAACTAGAAAACTGTAATGCACAATTTACTTCATTAGTAATCAAGGTCCAATAACCTATGAGTGCAGTGCTGAAGTAATGAGTTAGTCTGATCTTCTTGGCTTAAATGAATATTCTGAAGTTAGTCACATAGCACACATTATACTTACAGAAAAATTGTTAGAAGTATTAGATATAATGAGGAACATTATAAAAGGCAATCAACTTTAATAGTTCACTCTAAGAAGCATCTTGCCTCTTAGCAAGAAAATGCATTAAAGTCCAAATAATTACAACACAATATAATGTTATTGCACAGTGAGATGTAATACATTTATGGCAATATGTATAATATATACTGCTTTGGTGAGGATTTTTAAATTCCTTATTTTAAACTAATTTTGTCTCTTATAAAAACAAAATACTGCAGATGCTGATGATCTGAATTAAAAACAGTAGGAGCTGGAGAAACTCAACAGGTCCGGTAGAATCTGTGGAGACAGAAATACAGTTAACATCTGCAGTTGAATGACCTGAAGAGGGGTGTTTGGACTTGAAATATTAACAACGCTTCTGCCTCTACAGATGCTGCTAGACCCACTGAGTTTCTTCAGCACTGTGTTTTAATTTTGTCTCTTTCCTGCTGTTGGTCTGTCCAGAGAACTTGTCATTCCAGCTGAAACTACTCCAGATCCATGCCAATATTGCTTAATAAAACCATCAAGGAACTGCATGAATAAACTATTTCCTCTACTCACTCCAGACATTTGAAATGGTGGTCTAATACTACCCCTTTTTTTAAAGACCAAACTGAATTCTCACTGCTGATTTGAAAATACTTTTATATCACTCTGATATTAGACCAGGAAGCAAAAATGTTATCAGACTCTAATTCACTAATTTTTGAATCAAGTTGGGTCAATGAAATAAAGCTCTTTGCCACCAGCTAGAACATACATTCTGTAAAAATAAGACACATAGAGGAGGGAGAATCAGTATGGACTCACATTTTCCACATTATCTTTGTGGCTAGCTATAATTAAAAATAAAATTCCACAGGCTTTGGAACATTACAAATAATGTAACAAAAAATTTCAAGTGGAGAAATGGGCTGGATGCAGAGTGGTAAGAAATGGTTTTGTATGCAGTTAATTGCACAGCATATTGGATGTGCAGATTTTATCACAGGGAAGCAATAAGTGCAATATTACTACAAAAACTAGAAGTCAAAAAGCAGTCATTCAAACACCCTTTCACATACATCCATGCAACTGTTATCAACTGAGTTCAGTACAGAGTTATTCATCAGTTTGTGTATTTTAATTATTGATCACAGTTCCATGAGGGTTCCTCACTTATCTGCAAACCCACCTGGAAGTGGGAAGGAAATTCCCGTTCAAACCTCACTCAAAAATGACCCCTTGGCAATTTTACCCAGAGATACAGTGCTCTTAATTAAGGTGGATTGCCACTCATCAAGGAAATAACCAATTTCACCCTGACAATCAAACAGCTTTACCTGGAGCAACCATTATCTCATGTTTTTTTGATCGGACCCGTAAGAAAGTCAAATCATTCTGCGGATCAATGTCTCGAACAGTGCTTCTGGCCTTCATGGCAAGTTGATGGAACAGGCCTGCATATTGAACTGTGGTGGAGTTATCCAGGGTTGTCCTTATTGGAATTCCTGCAGATGAAAAACATACGAGAAACAATTAGAGATAGTAGGAACTGCAGATGCTGGAGAATCCGAAACAACAAGGTGCAGAGCTGGATGAACACAGCAGGCCAAGCAGCATCA